ATGGGAGGAACGAGGTACGGAACATGAGGAGGGCGGAGCCCGGACGCGATCGCGTCGGGAGTCGGCGCTGCGTGTAACTTCATGTTGCTGTAAATGTGGAAGGAAAGAACCACCCTCTTCATCGCCCGCCGCAACGACACGTCGTTGGCAAGGTCAGAAGGGTAAGCCGCTGCAGGGCCCATGGCCTACGTAGCAAGCGTGCCGAGGAGTGGAAGAGAGTCGGGGGACCAGAGGAGGCTCACGAGGACGGGGCAGGATATGTAGCGGGGGGATGAGTATGGCGCGCCCGTGCAACTGAAAGCGCAGGGCCTCTGCGTGAGCACGTGCACGCGGCAACTAGTAGCCCACCCGCCCGCGAGGGTCTCGACCGCTGCCCAACGCCAGCTAGGACGGACTTCGCCGAGAGCTGAACTGAGAACGGCCAGCGAGCTCGGCATGCGTCAGCAGCTCGCGGATGCCCGAGGTATCGAAGCGCTCGCGGAGTGTGATAGCGAATGGCGACGGGAATGCGGAATCGCAGAGAGACAGGGCGATGGTTCGCTGGACCTTGGGGCGGCGCGGCGGGTCAGCTGCGGACGCATCTCGAATTTCACGGGGAGCAGCGCGGCTCGCTACGGCCATGGCTGCTGCAGAAAAAGGGTGGGAGTTCTGGGCTTGCGGCAGAGCGCGGTAGAACTGCGCGATGGCCTCGGCCTCGTCTCAGGGGGGCGGAGACCGAAGCCTTTTTTCCCACCGATGGAGGAACGCGCCCTGCTCTCCTCCCACGCGGTCATCCGAAAGCTGTCGTCGAAGGGCCCCCCGTTGCCGCGGAGCGTGACCAAGGCGGAGCGAACGGCAGCGGCTGTAGAGGTCACTTGAGCAGAGCGCGCGACAGGAAACTCCACTCCGCCATCGCGCGCAAATCAACCTTGCGAAACGTGTTCGGCGGCAGACTCTACATCTTGTGAAAGGAGTATAGTTGGCGACGAATAATTCTGGCTTCGAGCTGAACAAACTGCGCGACATAGCTGGGCGTGGAGAGGGCCGACGCGCTTTGCAGTCTGACAGTGGCGTCGATGCTGCTCTGCGCACGCTGCAAAAGGCCCCCCCGTGGCCACCGCTTTTTTTCTCCGTGGGGCGAGTCATTGGCAAACGAGAGAGGCCGAGGGTCCGAGCAAGGTCCCGAGGTGCTTGGCTCGCCCCGCTACTGGGGAACAGCGCCAGGAAGCGCAGAAGGCGGCCGGGATATATTTCGCCGGGGCAGTGGCGGCTGGGGCCGCGGCGGCCGAGAGCGGCGCCATTGCGCGCGCGAGGCAATATAGAGAGAGAGAGAGAGAGAGAGAGAGAGAGAGAGAGAGAGAGAGAGAGAGAGAGAGAGAGAGAGAGAGAGAGAGAAAGAGAAAGAGAGAGAAAGAGAGAGAGAGAGAGAGAGAAGAGAGAGAGAGAGAGAGAGAGAGAGAGAGAGAGAGAGAGAGAGAGAGAGAGAGAGAGAGAGAGAGAGAAAAAGAGAGAGAGAGAGATAGAGAGAGAAAGAGAGAGAGAAAGAGAGGAAGAGAGAAAGAGAGAGAGAGAGAGAGAGAGAAACAAAAAAATAATGATAAATATTCAGAGAGAGAGAGAGAGAAACAAGAGAGAGAGAGAGAGAGAGAGAGAGAGAAATATATATAGAAAGAGAGAGAGAGAGAGGAACGCTAGCTCAACAGCGGCAAAGAACGGCTCAGATGCCTCACGGAGGGCGTTGAACTCGTGGGTGGGCATGCCAATGCCGTCCCCGCAGCCGCCGACGTAGCTTTCGTTGTAGTTCGGCGTGCCGTCGGCGTTGGGCGAATGAGCGGGTCCATGGCGATCGCCCATGCCGACCCGCTGGCTGGGCCACTCTGAGCAACGCCTGACTCGAATGCGAAAATGAAGTGGCGCACTTCGTTTACCTTGACGAAGCTGCGCGGCGCGTAGTACATCTGCCGGGGGAGGTTAATGCGGCCGATGGGCACGCCGAAGCGCTCGGGGGAAGCGGAAAACCAGACCCGCTCGAGAAAAAAGGAAATCAGCTGCGAAGTCGAAACTCACGAAGACGTGGAAGCGGCGGTCAGCGTTGGGCACGGCGCCCGCCCGCGGCATCTCGGCGTCGAGGCAAACGGCGCGCTCGGAGGAGTTGCGACCGGCGTCGAAGCCCTGCTGCGCGAGATGCGCGCGGTCGGAGGCCACGTTCTTGATGAAGGAGATGGCGGCGCCTGCGATGGCTTTGACGTGGGCATTCTTGGGCGAGAGCGGCCCGGTGTCCTCGGGCGCTCGGTCAGCGGCGAGCTCCCCCACGTGGTTGCTACCCGTGGACAAGAAGGCGAAGTCGGAGTCGTCGAGGTCGCCAGCGAAAGGTTTGTTGGGGCGGGGGTGGAAGGAGAGGGAGGCCCCCGAGGATGCCGAGCGAGTCAGGGCTCGCCAGCCAATCTGAGTAGGGCAGCCCATGTGGGCCAGGCGCGGGTTGAGTAGCATGGCAAAGCAACGAGCGGATGTTGAACTTGTTCGGCGCGCCGGCGTCGAGGATGGCACCCTGCGGCGCGCGCGCCTCGAGGCAGTGCTCGCGCGGTCTGCGTCGACCGCCGTGGCGGAGAAGACGGGATGCGAGTGCGCGCGCATGGCGTCCACCGAGGCGACATTCTCTCTTGCCACCTCTGGTGGCCCTCGGGGCAGCTGAACTCAATCCCCTGGAGGGTGAGGCGGCGCTTCTATGGGGCCCGCGGGGGGGCCCGGCGCTGAGGGGGCCGAAGGATGCGGCGGGCCTTCGCAGGGCCGGGGGCATCGGGTCGCCCCTGGGCGCGCTGGGCCGCTCGTAGAACTAGAGAACTCTGCCCAGCCTCGAAGTCGCGGTGCAGCGACGCGGACAGGTTGGCGAACTCGGAGCTGTGGTTGGGGGTGATGGCGCGCTGGGTGATGGCGAGGTATTTGGCGCCGATCTCGGCGGCGGAGTGCAGCTCGCTCGGCAGCTCAAGGTCTTCGCGCCAGGTGGCCCTCCAGACCGAGCGAGCCGCGATCGCGCGTCCGTCCTTGAAGCCCAAGCGCCCAGCTGAGCCAGCTGTCTGGCGTGCCCAGTCGCCGCGGACGAGGCGAGCAGCTTCTGCCATGCGGCGCTTGCGCGCGCGCCAGTTGTTGTCAGTGCGGACGTGTTTCGTCTTGGTAGCGTCAAGCAGCTGCTGGAGGTGAGCGGCGTAGCTGGGATCGCGGAAGATGGCGGGTGCGATGGTCTGCTCAAACAGCGGCGTCTTCGGCGCGATGCCGATGGCGAAGGCGATGATAGCGCGACCACTCTGGAGCTCGTCGGAGAGATCCTCCGGGCCAAAGGCGACGGTGATGTTCGCGGTGAGCTCCTGCGCGGCGCGCGCTGGCATGCTGGCGGAGACGCGGTCGATGGCGGGCGCGGCGGAGTCGGACTCGTTGAGGCGGGCGGGGAGGTCGGACTCGATCTCGAGCATCGCGTCGAAAAACGCTTTCCAGAATGGCTGCTGCTACTGGGCGTTGTTGTCGAGCGCCAGGCGCGAGCGCTGCGGCTGGGCCTGGGAGAAGCTGCTCGGCGGGCGGCTTGCAGTGTTGAGGTCGCCCATGGCCAGGAATATGCGATGGCGGCGGTCGGCCTCCGTCCGTGTGCGAGGGCGGTTCCGAGCTCGACGGACCTCGCTGCGGTCCTCGGCGCTGGCATCGTGGTTGTGTATGTTCACGATGACGAGAGAGTTGAGCGAAGTGGCATTCGTGGTGACGGTCAAATCGCGACCTTCCACAACAGCCTCGTGCTCGAAGGACGCGAGCTGCTGCGGCGTGAGCTGTTCGAACTGCATGTGAGAGAACCATGGGATGGGCGCGGCGACGCCTCCCGCGCCGCTCTGCGCGTCGCCGGGGCATGTCGGGATGCGGCCGGGCGTCCACCAATGTGTGAAGGAGGGCGTCGGCGCCGTGGACCTCCTGCATCGGGATGACGCACCTGCGCTTCATGAGCTTGGAGAGGGCCAGCGGCGTCTGCACTCGTGGCACATGGAGGCGCCAGCGCTCCGGGTGACGAAGGCGGTGGGCTCGCAACCCTCCGGCGGGAGCCACGGAGCCCGCGGGGGGTTAGGAACGCCGCGCGGCCGACTCGGTGCCAGCAAAGAGCGCCTGGAACGACGCGAGGATGCCACCGCGGTCGACGTGCTGGAGCTGCTGGTGCTCGAGCGCCTTCTCGCTCCACTCGAGGATGGTCGGGTCGACTTGTCCCTTGACGCCGAGTCGCGCGATGGGCGTGGCATCGCTGTGAATTTCTCCCGTCGCGCGGATGGCTCGCCATTGTCGGTCAGGGCATTGATGATGAAGAAACGGCAGAAGTCCCTTGCGCGGGATATTTGGCAACTTCTCAGGGTTGAGATCGATGGCGACGCGGTCGCAAGTGGCGTCCGTGGACTCGAACCGCTTTCAATTGCCAGCTGCATCCCGTAGCGCTCGTGACAGAGCCATGACCCTTGGAAGGGAAACCGTTTTATCGCCTTTGACATGTAGTATGAATCTGCGAGAGGGTTCATCGCCGTAGAGTTCGGCGGGATCGGAGAACAGGTTGGCCGAGGCGGATCCACTCTTGCAGGCCATTGAGGAGAACATATGGGGAGAGGGGGCCATGGCAGCCGATGGTGAAGATCCTCGGGTCGGAGGAGGATCTGCCCCGCTCGGTGAGCCCAGTGACATCCGCGATCGGGGCCTGCGCCTCGGCGAGGGCCAGGGCGTCGCGCCTCTGGTCGCTCTGCTCCCACATACGCTGCCGCTCTGAAGACTGGCGGCCCTGGTCGCGCCGAGCGCGGGCAACGACTTCGTGGAGAGTGTGCGCTCGTCGCTCCATTTGAAGAACTCGTTGCTGCAGAAGCTGTCGGAAGCCTTCTTCCCCGCGAGCCGTGGCGACGCGCCGACGATTCTGAGGCCGTGAGGGCTGCCTTCTGTTCCAAGTTCTTCGTGGCAGCCTGCAGCGACTGCTCGAACAGCGCCGCGACCTTGGTCGTCGCCTTGTCCTGGGGTCAGCCGTGGCGATGGCCTCGGGGAGTGCCTGGGCCGTCCTCCGCCCCCTCCTGGAAGCGGACCAAGCGACCTGAAGACACGGACGCATACCTAGGCCTGTTGGAGGCCATGCTTGACAACGGTTGCGCTTGGTTGCGAACTCTTGCATGTACCCACATGCCTGACAACAAATGATATGCTGCACGGCCCGGACACAAGCACCATCGAAACTGAAGGTCCGCGATTGATAGCTCCCTCAACTTTCGTTAGAACGGGTGACCTGCAGAGCCAAGGCCATCGCAGAAATTCTCAAGCAACAAAGGGGGAGGTACAGGGATCGCCCAAACAAGACGCTTCAGCAGAGTGGGCTTGAGGGAGAAGGAAGAGCAGCAGCAGCAGCAGGCCAGACCGCAGGTAGGAGAGAGGCTCGGGGCAGCAGGAGTGGGTGCTGGATGGCAGTGCTTTTGCTCTGGCTGGGGTCGGGGCTCCCCCCATCCACTCTCCCTCCCCCTTCCCCCTGGAGGTCAGGATCGGGGACGGTAGCAAAGCCTGCCGCACACGCAACCCTCCCCCTCCCCTCCTCCTCCTCCTCCTCCTCCCCCATCCTCCTCCTCCTCCTCCTCCTCCTCCTCCTCGTCCTCGTCCTCGTCCTCCTCCTCCTCCTCTCCTCCTCCTTCTCCTCCTCCTCCTCCTCCTCCTCGTCCTCCTCCTCCTCCCTTTCCTGCTCCTCTTTCCCGGGGCGTGCGGAGTGGGAAATTGGAGTCGGTTTCTGGGCTGCCTCTCCCCTCCCTAGTGCTGCTCGATGGTTCCCGCCTCCCTTTTTCCATTACCTGTGCTGATGAACGGCAACTATCCATGATGCCGTCATGGCGTGAGCGAGGGGGGCTTGGGGAGGAGTGCGCGGGCGGCTCATGAGGGCTTCGCCCCACATCTGCGCCAAATTTGTAACAGGACCTCTCGCTGAGTCCGTCCTGGCCAATTCCTCGAGCTGCGTCCAGCCGCGGCGACGTGGTGCCCCCCGAAGGCCCCAAAACGAGCAGCGAGGAGCCCAACAGACCTGTCGGGCACGCGCTAATATGGATTACGGAGCCGTTGATCTGGCTCGCGGGCGCCAGAGCCACGGATCGGGACGAAACGTGAAGCCGACGTCGCCTGATCTGGCGACAGAGCGCGCCGATTCTGCACGGCGACGGGGCCCGTCGAGAACCCACGCGCCCGAGTTCATGCTTGCACTTCCCCGACCCTGGCAAGCCGAGCCCCGATCGGGGAGACGCAAGACTCGGGTACGGAAGACTCGGGTTGGGCCCAACGGGGCCATCATAAAAATGACGAGACCCAACCCGAAATTTGACGCAGGCTCTCGCTGCAGACATCCCACGAAAACTGGACCGTCAAAATCCAGGACGCGCTCGTCAAACAACGTTGGCGAACCCGAGTTCCGGCTTACTTGAGTCTTACGTTTCCCCGACCCGAGTAGGAGGGTCCCATCCCCCGCGCCGCCCAGCCCGGCCTTGCAGAAGACGACAGACCGGCAGCGGTCATGCTCTGAAGGGCCGCGGGCAGAGACGGACGCGTCTGGACCCCTCCACGCCGAGCCCCCCGGCGCCGATCGGGCAGATGGTGGGGAGGCGCAGGAGGGGGGGAACAAGAAGGGTAAGGATGAGGGGGAGGAGGACGGGGAGGACGAGGGAAGAGGAAAGGAGGGAGAGGAGGAACAGAAGGGCAATTCAGGATGAGTATGCATCGGGTTGACGGAGAGCAAATACAACCAACTCTGTCCTACGTACCACCATACGAATGGTTCAAGTGTCGTTTGGCGACCCCGCACTGTGGGGGCATCCAGCCGCCCAGGCAGATCATGATGGATAACTCTTGAACTGGCGATCTGACAACTATGACATCTTCAAGCGTTTCAGTCTCATTACTTTTTTGCTCCTCTGATTAGTGAAGTCCTTCAGGAGCCGAAAGCTCCTAAGGGGCCGAAGCCCCAATGGCGGCTGCCGCGCCCCATTTTGGTCCACAGGCCGCAGTGATGGGCAGCCAATTGCGACTGCCCCGCCGGAACGAGTCAGGCGGAGGCTACGGAAGCCACATGTCGCGAACCATCATGCAATCCTCCTCCTCTTCCTCGCCCTGCTCCACCCTCTCCATCTCTCTTCCCCTCCCCCTCCTCCTCCTCCCCATGCTCCTCCCTCTGCTGCTGCTGCTGCTGCTGCTGCTGCTGCTGCTGCTGCTGGTGCTCCTCCTCCTCCTCCTCCTCTTCCTCCTCCTCATATTCCTCCCCCTCCTCTTTCTCCTCAGCACGGTCTCTACGCAGTTTCTTAGCGACCTCCCCGGCCCGCGGGTAATGAACGGGACAGCGTCCTCACAATGCAACACGTTTCTTGCCGACGCTGCCTGCCAGCGGCTCAGGCAGCTCCTCCTGCTGCTGCTCCTCCTCCTCCGAGCAGCGAAGTGCTGGTGCACCTCGTCGTCGCCCTCCTCGCCGAACATGTCGCCGCGCTCTTCCTCTCTGGCCTGGGCCCGAGGTTGGCTCCGCCCCGCCTCGCCCGCCCGCCTGGCTCCACCTTCTCCCGCCCTTCCCCTCCTTTTCGCCCCTCCCTCGCTCCCTCACTCGCTCTCTCTCTCCTTCCTCTTCCTCCTTCCTGTGCGCGGTTGCTCTCCTCCACCCCATTTCCTCGTAGACAACTCCTCGTCGCCGCGCCACCAGAAGTGTTGGAAGGGTGGGCCCAGAGTTTTGCCACAGACCTTCTCACGGATGAACGTCGTGACGCTTCAAGACTCCAGTGGCTGCAACGAGAGAGGGCGGGTGCTTTCCATAATGTGGCGCTTATCATCGTTTGGTGCACATTCGTCTTAACAGCTTCCGGCAACTACAAGGACGGACTGGTTTTGAAACACGTGGCGCTCGCCCTAGCGCCGCGCGCATCCGTCTTGAACGATTCAGTTAAACAGGTGCAGGACGGGCCGTTTTCAGAACGCGGCCCTCGGCTTGGCGCTGCGCACTTTTGTTTCATTACGTCCTTGAGGTTGCAGAGATGGAGCACGGTTTCCTGTCGCACGTGAGTTGCTCAACATCCATGGTATGCAACGTAGTTCTGTCAAGCAGTCATGGGTGGAAGGCGCATATTTTCCAAGTTGGGCTCTCGCTTGAGGCGCCACCAACACACATGGCAATGATCTAAAGGTGCGTAGTAGCTGCGCTGGTATACATAGGGCGGCTCATGTTCAAAACGGGGCTCTCGTTGGACACACCTCTCGACTTGTCGATGCTGCACGTCGTTCATCTCCAATCGTGCTCATGTCTACTTGCGATCGTTTCGAATGTTTCCTGGCCCCACAGTGGCCAGGAATAGGCCCAGGACGCAATCCTTAGAAACGAAAGGACGTTGCCCCCCAAACACCTCAGAGAACCTGCGAAGAATTAGACAATGAGCAATGTGCGCCTCGTCTAGGAGGAGGAGGAGGAGGAGGAGGAGGAGGAGGGGGAGGAGGAGGAGGAGGAGGAGGAGGACGAGGAGGAGGAGGAGGAGGAGGAGGAGGAGGAGGAGGAGGAGGAGGAGGAGGGCGAGGAGGAGGAGGAGGAGGAGGAGGAGGAGGAGGAGGAGGAGGAGGAGGAGGGAGGAGGAGGAGGAGGAGGAGGAGGCGAGGGCGAGGAGGAGGAGGAGGAGGAGGAGGAGGAGGAGAAGGAGGAGGAGGAGGGCGAGGAGGAGGAGGAGGAGGAGGAGGAGGAGGAGGAGGGCTCAGGGCGAGCCAGCTCCCTCTCAAGCCGGGACCCTCGCCTGCGCAGAGGCAGGCCCAAAGGGCGCCCGCCCCTCCCGACGGGGGGGGCGGCAACCCCGCGGCACGGAGAGAACACGCCTGCGGGGGGCCCGCGGGAGGAGGGGGCCTCCGGGGGCGGGAGGGGGCATCGCAGCAGCGCGGACGCCTCCTCGCTGAGTGCTGGCCTCGATCCTCCTCCTCCTCCTCCTCCTCCTCTCCTCCTCCTCCTCCTCCCTCGCCTCCTCATTCCAACCCCCGCCCCCCCCTCCTCGCTCTCCTGCCACTCCCCTCGCTCACGCCCCCTCGAGGGAAAACGGGGTCGGGGGAGAGCGGGATCAGCACCGGCGGCTGCAGCGCGGGCCTCTCTCAAAGCCTCCGAGGGCCCTCAAATCTCTATGTAATTGTTCGACCCCCCTCCTCCTCCCCCTTCCCCCTCCTCCTTCCCCGTCGCCATCCCTCTGAGGCGGCATCGCTGCTTCCCTCGCTCCAGCGCGTCACTTGAGTTCCCAGTCCCTGACAACTTACCCTTGCTGCCAGCCAGTACACGGCCGCCGCTACTGCCATACATCCTTCTTGTCCTTTCAACAGCTGGCCCGTGCACAAAGCACTGGAGACCCCTCCTAGCGCGGCCCTGCTTAGTATCGCGAACTAAACCCTGGCCACAGCAGCGCAGGGCCTCATCGGTGACCCGAAGCAGCAAAACCGCGTGTGCATAGACGGGCAATGCCACCCATGGAGGATGAGGGATCGATGCGGGTAAACATGATGAGGAGCCCAGCGCGGCCAACGTGTCTGAGAAGCAGCGCTTCCACTGGCCAAGGTGTTCCAACCAAAAGAGGACTCGGCCAAGCCAAGCATGCCTTGTAAAAGCGGGGTGTTCAAGGGTCAGGTTGGCGTGCGCGCCAGAGTGTTTCTTCGAAGTCTTTGTGTAAAGGATGTGCCAACCAATGCAAGCCCGCGGTGCGAAGAGGTGCCTTGCGTTTCCCATCATCGGCTGTCTATATCGGCCAGGTCTGCTATGCAGAAGATGGGGGAGGGGATGGTAGGTGGGAGGAATGGGCGAGCGGGGGAGGGATGGGGGGGGCTATGGCTATGGACAAGGTGCTTAGGTGGGGCGAGCGGGTCGGAGGGGGGATAGGGAGGCGGAAGGGAATGGGGAGGCAGGGACAGGGTGGAGGATGGGAAGACCTCATGAATGGTAAAGTTTACCAGGTCTGGGCGGAACACCACCAGGCTTCTGTTCGGAAAATGTTTGCTCTAGGTACCTGGACACAGGTTCGCCCTAAGGACCACGGCCGTGCTGAGGGTAAGGCTGAGCAGGGTACACTCTTTCACAGGAGATGTGCTTGCGAAGCCTTCGCCGCTGATCGGAGGCAACACCTATCAAGGAGATAAATAAGAGCCGCGAGGAGAACCCAGGAATGGAACCAAGACCTCGAGAAATGTTCGGCCGGTGTGCTTTCCCTTCCTCGGGAACTGATTCCTCCCCCTGTGAGCGCCTCGGAATGCCTGTTTATTGGTTCAACAGGCGGGCCTCAAGTAGGCTCAGGGGAAAACAATTCGAACGGTTCTGCTCTCAACCTGCCGTGTGAAGCCACTAGACGTGCTGGGTGGAGTGTTGGGTGGAGCCTAGTACAGGTAAAATAATCAGGAGCCCTCACTTGTGCTGCTTTTTCAACTGTTCCCAGGAAGTCTTCTCCCAGCCATCAGGACAGGGATGGTGAAGCCTTTGCGTATTATGTTGGCTGAGCTCGTTGAGCCGATGCTCGATTTTGAAGTTTTCACGGACTGCCAGGGGACCTTGGGGTGCGTCTGGAAGCCGGCTAGAAGTGTCACGTCCCCAAATCCCAGGGCCCACATCTGGACCAAGGAGTGGCGTGTCTTCGAGGTCGGCCTCAGGGCCGACAAGGTCAAGGGGCATGCCACAATGTCTGATGTTCGGCCACACGACTCAGGCTGGTAGGCTATACAATAGACATGCAGACAGATATGCTAAAAAGGGTGCTGAGCTGCACCCTGTGCCAGAGGTAACTGTTAGTACCACCAGTTCTTTGGGTCAGAGTGGTCTGGCGATGTCTGTCTCGTCTCCTCCAAAAACCTCTTCCTTTCCGGGATGTTTACTTCCGCCCTCCCTCCCTGTGCTTTTTTGTTTGGAGAGGGGGGCGCGGAGTGCCAGGCCGCCCAAGATGGTCCAAGATGGCCTCGGCGAGACGGCCCAAATCACTGAGCTGATTGAAGTGTCGTGCCAATTCTGGCGATTCGATGGCGAACTCATCCCCTCCCCACTTCTGATCGATGGGCTCCAGGATGGCCCCGAGAGGCTCCCCAGGGCTCTCCCAAGGACCCGCAAGAGGGCTCGAACAGGGCCCCACGACCCCCAAGAGGACCCCAAGATCCACCCCGAAGAGCCTCAAGATAGCTCCAGGCGGGCCTCCGATGCTCCAAGATGGCTCACACTGGCCGGCGATACCTCAATTGTAGCCTCCGGCTTACCTCCAACAGGCCCGACGAGGGCCCCGAGACGGCACGTACCACGTGCTCTGGGAGCCCACACAGAGCCCCCGAAGACCCTTTCAGGGGCCACATTTGGCTTAGGTCGGGCCTGTCCCCCTACAGGCGGATTTTGGGCGAAACAATACAAACTTGTCAAACATATTTAAAAATAGTCAAGCATGGTCATCAACAAATCGTCCCCAGACTTTTTTTGACTATTCTTGAATATCCCTCCTGTAGAGGGACATGCCCGACTTAAAGGTACATCAATGATGTTGGACTTCTCGCCTTTTGGCTTCCGATGCGCGTTTGAGGCCACAAGATGGCCCAACAGAGGCCCAAGAGGCCCCCCACACGGCCACAAGAGCGTCCAAGAGCGCCCCAAGAGGGGATCTTGATGGCCCTGGGGGGGGCACCAAACGTTACGACCCCTTCTCTTTTCACCGACTCCTCACGCCCCACGCAATAGCTCTATGAGGCCCTCCATGGCTCCCGACAGGCCCCCAAAAGAGCTCCACGAGGGCCACAAGAGGGCCTCCGATGCTACAATATGGCCTCCAGGATGGCTCAAGATAGCCGACGCTGGCTCAAGCTTCCAGCTTACCTCCAAGAGGCCCGACGAGGGCCACAAGACGGTTCCCTGTGCTCTCGGAGCCTCCTCAGGACGCCCCCCAAGAAACCGAATTCGGTCAAAAGCCTGGGAAAGGAATGATGCTTGACTTCCCGCCTTTTCGCTTCCGATGCGCTTTGGAGGCCTCGAGGTGGCCCAACAGAGGCCCAAGAGGGGACACAGATGGCCCCTAAGAGCGCCCAAAAACGTCACAATGAGGGCCTCAATAGGCGATGTTGATGGCAGCTGGGGGCGGCACCAAACGTTACGACCTCCTCTGTTTCCACCGACGCCCCCCACGATAGCCCCAAGAGGCCCATCATGGCTCCCAACAGGCCCCCAAGAGAACCCTACGAGGGATCCAAGAGGGCCCCAAGAGGGCCCCAGTGCCCCTTCGAAGGAGTCCCAAGATGCCAATGTCCCCCAAAAGAATCCGATGAGGGCTCCAAGAGGCGATTTTGTCGGTTCCGTCCTCGTCCTTGTCCTCCTCCTCCTCCTCCTCCTCCTCCTCCTCCTGCTCGTCCTTCGTCGTCCTCGTTTTTTCCTTCTCTTCCTCGTCGTCGTCGTGGTCGTCGTCGTCGTCGTCGTCTTCTTCCTGTTGCTGCTCCTCCTCCTCCTCCTCCTCCTCCTCCTCCTCCTCCTCCTGGTCCTC